TTTATACTGGATTATCTCGAGCTGGACACATAGCACGTGGGGGGTTTATTTAGACATCTTTTGTATATCATAGATTTGGTCTATTATGTATTATTTGTATCATTTGTATATTATTCATACATCTTCATCATAACTCTTTATTTTCTAATATTTTTTATCTTCCATAAATTGCAATGTCAACATTAACTAACATCTGAAAATCGATTACATAATTTAAACATAAATTAAACATAACTTAAGATAAAACTTAACAATACCAGATGATTAATAAATAAGAAAAACCTAAACACTACCAGATGATTCTGGACATTTTAGTATCTCCATTATGTCGTCAACAAATCTTAAAAGCTTAGCATCTAACTTGATCGGCCCCTTTGTTATCCTACGGCGAAATGATCTCCACATTTCTTTCACATCTTCGTCGGTCTTCAACTCAATAAGGTTTTATTCTACCCTCCTGTTAGTATCAATCCAATCTTCATAAAACTCGATCTTTCTCACCTTTATGTTTTCGACATCAGGAAATAATTAATTCAACTTCAACACCAGACCGACAAGAGATGTGGTGTCATCTGGAAGCCGGAACTCTAGAGGAGTAGAAGCTCCGTTGAAGTACACTTCTGCCTTAATCAAAACTTGAGGAAGAGGCATTTTTTGAGATGTGTTTATCAAACAATATGTAACCCCTTATTTATAAAACTTTGCATTTACTCTAGACCATACAAAACTGTCGGTGCAATCACAGTCATCCAAAATTATCGGAAAAATCTTGAACATAAAAAAAAATCAAACAAATAACACTACCGAAAATTTCGTTTAGGTTGATATTTTCGGTATCAAATGTAAATTTCAAATTTCTGGAACATACTGAAACTTATCGGAAATTCTGAAATTTCCGGTATACAAGAAATTTAGAATAGCTACCGGAAATTTTGGTTTGGACCAAAAATTTTGAACGGAAATTTGATCCATTTTTCAGCCAAGAGTAGTTTTGGGAATATGAAAGTATAGGGATGTCAGGTATAAATTATGGATGACAAGTTAAAATCTCAGATAATAACTAATAACTTTCGCTTGTTTTCCAATACCATAGTATTCTTATTTTGATAAATGTGCAATGATAACCATAACCCAATGTCTTAAAGATTTTGATAATTAATTTTATAGATTTGATTCTGAGACTTTCCAACCTCAAACTCCTTCATCTTCCATATAACCAAATGAGTTTTTTTTTTTTTTGAAATCATGACAAAAGCAAAGTGATTCCATCAACACACAAATAGGCGCTAACATAGTTGAGTATGCACATGCTAATATGAATAAAGGATGTTGTCTTTGAATCGGTGTTCTAATATAATAATCCTCAGACCAAAAGATGTTTGTATCTTATTATGTTGATTTCAAATTATTTGGTTCACAGAGTCCCAACCTCTACAAAAATCACCTTTAATGCTTTTCAACCAACTCTTCATTATAGCATGTGCATATTCAACTTTTTAAGTTGTTCTATTTCCAAAGTGTGTAACTTGATATGTTCAAACACATACAATATTATCCTTCACCCAATCTAGAATTGTACTCTCAACATATTTCAAAAAAATCGGGATATCTCACACACACACTCTTCTAAACTGCATGAGAGAGCAACCATTATTATTTCCACTACCACACCAACTTTGACCATTTTCCCATATTCACCATTGATTTGTGTGGTCCCTACTGCAAGTTTAAGTCTATTATTTCTCACATTTTTGGTTATGTGATACCTATGAAGTAATGCATAAGATGTAGAAAACACATTTGCAACCAAATTCATCAGTGAGGTATCGCGGTCTGTTACAATGACCTTTAGCATATTTTCTTGGTCCTTCAAGGTAGTCTTGCATACTTCCAAAGTCCATGTAACTTTGTCCTCTTTTTCTCTTTAAAAAATGCATAATTCACTTAAAAAATCATCTTTATCGAAGTAGCCCCAACAATTTCCAAAAATTGAAGTCTATACTTGTTTGTTTTGTATGTTGAATCAGTTATAAGCATGGTGGAAAATGTGTTGAACAACTTGATGGAATCAGGATAAGTCCAAAATATATCTCGAATAGTGACTCCATCCTCACACACTATGTACCTAGAAACATAATGATCATCATCCAGAAGCTTCACCAGTTGTTGAATTTCAGATCTTGATCTTCTTATCATATTGTTGTTTATGACACGAGCATTGTATATTTGCTTGATATTTGAGATATTTTGAGGTCTTTTCCATTTCAATGTTTCAAGTATGTTTTTGGGCGACACCATATTCAATGTCATGTCAGAAACAATTACCTTTTCCTCAGGATTAAGGTGACATACAATGGATTGACCAACTAACTTGTAACACAAGTAATGATTATGTATATCAGAAATTACATTAAATTTCCATGTAATGTTCATCTTACGGTATCCACGCACCTTAAAAGGACAACCACACATTCTCGATCCGGTGTCATCCAGTTTCAACTTCCGAATAAGTTGTTGGTACGTGCCACTTCTTTCGCATCTCATTGTTACAAATATTTGTCTTCTATCAGAACCATTATCATATCTCTATATTACAACACTAAACCCATGTTTGGCGGCCTTCATGCAGATCCATTGGATCATATTTTCACGCTTAACAAACTCTTATTTAGTTATAAATTGTTCACGAACATCTACATCGACAACAACCGATTTAACATCCACCTCGATATCAATTAGTTTAACATCATCTTCAACATCACCCGATATATCATCATCTTCCACTTCATCTGGTATAACATTCACATACACAGTAGCTTGATGAAAAGTATCAAGGTGTATCATGTCTACAACCAAGCATAACAGAAAAACATATTTAATATTCAAATTCGACTTTAGAACAATCCGGAAGTACATATCTGAAACATATGCAACATAACTCGGAGATGCATCTCTAGACTCAACGTTCAATTTTACACAACAAAAAACTTGATTAATCCAAGCAATGAGGAAGGAAATACATGTTCTTTACCTTAAATTGCAGTTTCTTTTACTCCTTTTGATGTGATAAAACACAAAAATGTTGTTTTTGAGTGTAAAAATTGATTCAAAATGGAAGGAGAATTTTTAAGGGTTTTAATCGAAAAGTGATGTTTGATCATGGAGAAAAAGAACATGTAATGGTGGTGTTTTATTAAATTTCTCGCTTGACATTTTCGAAGATGCATCTTCGAAATTGTCACTGAGTTCATTAAACAAGCTCAATCAACTAAATACATCATTGATGACATAAACAGAGATGATTTCGAAGATGCATATCCAGAATTGTCACTAAATTGAATAAACTAGCTAAATCAACTAAATACGTCCTCAATAACATAAACATGAGTGATTTCTGAAATGCATCTCCCGATTAATTTTTTTATTTAAACGGGGTGTGGCTCACTTGCACATAATATGAATTCCTCTTTCTCTCGGCACTTCTAAATTTCTAATAGGCGCTAAAAGGTGAAAAATAAAATTAACAATGATTGCAAAATTAAAAGTAAATGATATAACTATGAATTGGGTAAGACTTGTATCATGCTTGTGGACCCTAATTCATAGTTATATCAGTACCATTCATTCACAGGGATCCTAAAAGTCATTGAGTAAGTGCATCCCCCATACAATAATAAAGCACCAGTAAGCAAAAGCAAGTATTGGAATAAACACTAAACAAGCCTTGTCACATAATTACCAATAATCATCTAAACAGTATTGCAACTTAGAACACCTATAACATGGTTGCTTAGACCATGAGATCTAGTAGAGGTAACAAATAAATCAAGTACGAGGGAAAAAGGAACAAAAAGAAAAGAATATCCAGACATAAATTTTCAGTATATCATTAATTTAATCTTGTAAAACTACAACAATATTTGAATATTGTACCCTATCCTACAAAATGGGTATTTAAATTACTTTTAGAGTTGAAGACTCTCACCCGCCTTTACACAAAAACCAGCAAACTATAACACAGAAAGTTGTTACACTACACATGTTTCCAAAGAAACCTTAAAGAGCTACATCAAGAGGGTCATAATGGTTCAACAAAATGAGTACTGTAACTGATGAAATTATCTGTAGTTCCAATAAGCCTCGTCCTTTTTCTTCCAAGCATCCCACCATGTTCCATCAATAGCACCAGATGTGCTTCAAGTTGGAGTTGTCAATCTAGAATTCAAAACAGGAGAGTGAAAAAGAAAAACAGGAAAAATAGAATAAAAACACAAAGGATAGATCTCAAAAGTACAGGTATTTTATCTTTGTTAAAAAGCAAACTATTAGCTTCAATCATGATGCCACTGGTGACATGAGGTTATGTTAAAATCAGATTCTACAAAAATATCATTATCAAGTAAAGAATTGCAAAATATCTAATTACAAAATATTTATTTATGCTTAAATATACATAGATACGAGATGTTTAAGCAGGGAAATAAGATCACTCAATTAATTCAGCATACCACTTGTACAAAATGTTGAAGTAAACTTAATTTAATCAAAGTTGAAACAGATAGTTTTAATTTTTCTTATATATATATATAGATATAACGAATCTATTCAGGTTTGCTATGTGTGTCTCATAAATTTGTTTCCCACTTCAACCTTTCATTATGTTACATTCAAATTCTTTTCAAACTTAAATAATGTATTTCCAAAATGAGGATTATTTCATTCTTAAGCTTTGTTTAAAATGTTTTCAAGACCAACCCAGTACAGAATATCCAAGAGAGGATGAATGTTTTCTTGGGAGATACATCTTCTAGCTACTCAACTTTAAAGAAAATGCATCTTCCAGCATATAATAAACATCAAAACAAAACAAATTCATTCGACTAGTAACCATTCAACAATCAAATCAAAGTCATCATAAGAAAATAATCACACAATATATTATACAACATACACGTATTAACATAAATTCAATAAGTAATTCTTCAAATAGGAACTTACTTTCAAGGAATTGGAACCAAACTTTCAACATAATCCTTGCAAAAGGCCCATCGCGGTTTATTGGAAACAATCTCTACTCTATTATTAGTCCAATCATAGATAATAGCCAGCAACTCTCGCTTGTTCGCCAATACCAGAGTATTCTTATTATGAGAAATGTGCAACGGCAACCAGCATCCAATGTGTTGAAGATTTTGATAATTAATTCTATAGAGTTGAGTCCATGACTCTCCAACACCAAACTCCCTCATCTGCCATATAACCAAACAAGTATGTTTGAAATCATGACAAAAACAAAGAGAGTCCATCAACACAGAAATAGTCGGCTCGATAAATGGCACTTCATCCAAACCCCGCGGAGGCATTAACTGCACATGTGTCTCAGCACCCAGATCAAGTGAAATGATCACAAATTGATCAAGAGTAATATCGTTGCTATGATAAAATCTATCCGCACTGTAGCAATTCCGAAGAGCCAGCCAATTAAGACTACCATTCAAATAAATACCATGATTCTCACTTGGAAGAGTTAACCGGAGAGGACCAACCGGAAAACCTTGAATATCTCTCCAAACATTATCACCCAAACTATAAACCCTCACCTCTGTTCTCAATCGAGTTTCACTTACACCACCGTCACCAATTTCACCATCACCAATCAATCTTAACGCCGCTACTTTATAATTATCGGTTAAACTATCATAACCAAATGCATATCTAGAGAAGAAATAACGATGCTTGCAATAATCCTTAAAATACCCTAGTTTCTTAGATATTGTATTTGTAGCTGGATTATAGAAATTGAGCCAGCAATCTCTATAACTACCAGTGAAAGCGGAATAATGAGAAAAACAAAGCAATCCATTACAAGAACCAACCAACCAATAATGGTGAGTGTCCAACAATGGATAGAAAGGTTTGTCCGGAAAGGTAATCAGAGGATTCTCGAGAAACTTGTCTATAGGGAGGATTACGAAACGGAAATCTGCTACGCACTTTCCTGAGACAAGCGTGAGGTGAGGGTTTCGTGCAGATCGACGAAGATGCATTTTGATAAAGACGGGATCGGAAATGAGGGAGTTGAAGAACTTACTCACGCATTTCATTTGTATAAGAGATTTCACGGAAAGGAAGGAGAGAACTTCCGCCATGAGTTCGTCGGGGAGGATTGGTGGTGACGACGGCGAGTTGGACGGACGGCGAGACTGAGACGGAGGAGGGAGATCCATTTTCACGAGAGCGGAGTAACGGAGTTGGAGACTCGTTGGATTGAAAGTTGAATAGCGATACTGTGTGCTGTGCCTGTGACCACTTTTTTTTTGTTAAAAGTAAATTGTGTTTTAATATTCTAAAATGAAAAATGATTTAAGATTCAAAAATAATGAACTCTAGATGCCATATCATTTTTTATACACCTTCTAATCCTATTTATAAAAAATAAAAAAGTTGAATACATTAAATAAATATAATAATTAATGTATCTAGACAATATATATATTAGATTATGAATCTGAAAAAAATTATACATAAAATCAAAGTTTAATTATTTTAAAATTAAAAAGTTCAATACATTTTACTTTAAAATATTAATATTTGAATAAAATTTATGAGTATTTAAAAATTTATTTATAAAAATAAAAGTTTAAGTGTTGTGTATTGTTGGTGTTAGTCAATATTACACGTATATTTTATTTAAATTTTTAAATTTGTCAAGAGTATTTTAAAAATAAAAATGTGATTGAATAGAAAATATATTTATCATTGGTTGACGGTGTAAAAATATTTTACACTTTCGGTACCCATTTCTCTTTTTTTTTAAAATAAAATTTTAGACACAATTTAAATTTATTATTGAATATTATATTTTGATTTAACTTAAAAAGAATATTTATATATTTAGTTCTTTAATTAATATTCTAAGTACACAATTTAGAATTAAAAAATTTATAAAAACACATTTATAATAAGATTAAAAGAATATTTTTTTTCTCTTTTTGGTCAAAGATTGAGAGAATATTTAACTCTGCATCAACTTTAAAAACTTAAAAAAGTATATGAAGTTATTTATGAACGAGTATCAATATTTATTTTTCGAATAAAATTAAGCATGATAATAAAGCAGGACTAATGTGTATTTAAGTATTATCAATTCCGTCGCCTCCTCCTTGTAATATTCTCTATTATCTTCAAATTTAGTCAATGATAATAATTAACCTCTCTTTCCTGCATAATTTTTTTAAAATTTTTTTTATAATAACAAAATTAATAATTAAATTAAATATTTAGTCCATTCATGAATAATCATAATATTTGTTTTTCTTAGAACAAGTTTAATAAACTTAAAATTTTAAAATTAAGAAGGATAAACAGGTAATAAATGTATTAAAAATAAGAGTAATAAGTTAAACTAATAGATAAAGAAAGGGCTAGTATCTAGGAGTGTTCATAGGTACGGGTCAATCTGCAAACTCAGTCATTCAATTTAACTTAGTCATTCAATTCAACTCAATCTTTATGGTAATTTTACCTCATACTTCTATTTTTATTCTTATACTCCTACATTTTATAAAAATATCAATTAAATTAAATTTAATAGGCCTCATATTTTAAATCAACCAGTTTTGATATTTCTCTCACGTTTTTCCAAATCAATGAGATACTTGTTTTTTACCTATATTTTTATCTATAAAGTTTCAAATATGTTTATATTTGATGATTTTTCATGTTTTACAATAAACTAATCACTTTTAATTTTAAATGCAAATGTATGACAGGTGATAAAAAAATTTTAAATTTAAAATAAGTGATCAATTTTGTGAATCGGTTAAAATAAGGAGACTAAAATTATAATTAAATCATTTATTTATCATGTCTAAATAGATGCTTCGTTATCTACCGTTAATAAGTATTTTAAAATATAAAACTCATTTTTATAATTAATAAAGTTAATAACTTCCTTTCAAAAATATGAATTACTTGAAAAATGTATGAAATAAGAAAGGAAAATTACATTTTTTGGTCCCTTAACTATATGTTTGGATTCATATTGGTCCCTTAATTTTTTTTTTTTTGTCAGTTTGGTCTTTTAACTCTTTAAAATGTATCATGTTAGTCCTTTTTGTCTAATTAGCAACGGAAAATTCAAAAATGAGTCGCTGAATTCGCCACTAATTAGACCAAAATGACTAACATGACACTTTTTAAAGACTTAAGGGACCAATCTAACACGAAAAGAAATTAAGGGACCAATCTAAATCCAAGGTTATAGTTAAGAGACCAAAAAGAGCATTTTGCCAAGAAGAAATACATAAAAATTCACAAACATGATTTTATTTGTCTTATAAAAAATGTTGTATTTGTTATTTAAGTTTAGCTCACTTGATAGTTGCGGAGAGTACGGTTATCAAACTCATGAGTTACTTAGTAGACTCGTACAAGTTTAGGAATCTATGAAATCAAAATAACATAATTCGCACTCAAACTTGTTTTCATGGTAGATTGGGATAGAGTTGTGCAGACTTGGATAGACTTACAAGTTTAAGGCGAGTTTACGAACTTAATATGATTCTTGAGAAAAAAATTCAAAATATGTTGGACCTCACTACTATTTTAACAAGGAAGTGTTGCATTATTAAAGAAAAAAGGTATTTGTAGTTGGGGTTATACCTGGCATAAGGGAAAACTAAACAAAAAGAAAGAAAAAATATATCAAAAGAGATCTAATCAATAGACAAAGAGATCATGCATATCCAAAACCTTGGTCATCCAACGAATAGTCATTAAATTAAAAGACGAAGCAAATCTAAAGTTTAACAAGTCAAATCTATTCAGAAAAAATTCTCCCTAATGAAAAAGGAAGCGTATCCTACCATAGGGAATTTAAAATCTCGTGAACATAATTTTCTAATTTATCAACACACTTGTTTCCTTCATTTTAGATAAGAGCGTAAACAAGGTTTATTAAAAGACTATTGCAGTTAAACCATCTATTTTTGAGGTCTCAAGGAATTATCGCTTCTTTTTTGAGACATATATGGAAGTCGCTCTCTATCCAAATAATATTTTAACATTTTATTTGCTTGTTTTCTATCGGAATCACAATAGAGATTAACTTTGCTCTCAAAACATTAAACTCTCCTAATTAGTTAAGAAAGCTTCTAGAAAACCATCATGATGATTTCTTTCCCCTCCAATTGCTGCATAATATATGAGAAATCCATATATCTTTAATTTCTTCCATAATAACCACGACTTACTCCAAATAACCATAATGGTTTTTGGCGAGTTTCTATCACACTTCTCTAATTGTAGGTTATTTAGGACCTCATTTTATTTCCTGCGATTCACAATACCTTCTATCAAGAGCAATAAGCTTATATTTATGAGAATTAATATGTTAATCAATGAAACGAACATGCTAGTTTTGACATTATTGAAATACGTTTAATTTCTAGTTAACCAAATTTGGTGAACCGTGTGGGTTCAAACTCGAAATTGTATCTTTAAGGGGGGAGAATGTAATATCTCATATTCCCTTAAATGCTCAATTGAATGTCAGTTGAGATCAAATGAGTTTTTGTGTACTATATCTTTTGTCAGTTAGAATAGTGGGAGCTCCTAGGTGCTCTAAATATTGTCAATTAAGACCAATATAGTAGCCGGTAAACTCGAAAGAGATTAATTATTAATAAAAGAGACAGACCAATATTAATAAGCATGAGAGGAGATGTAACACCCTTCTAACCCCAAAGAATAATTCACAATATAATAAGGATAATTCAACTTAATTTAGCACTCAAGAGTGTCACGCTTCATATAAAACATTCATAATAATCATCCTACTCTGTAACATGGGTTATAACATCTATAACATTATTTTCTTTTATGACTTTAACACATAAATTGAACTTCGCAATGGAATCATAATCATAAAAAAAAATTCATTCATCTTCATTACACCAAAATAAATATGTTAACAACATAACATATCAATTGAATTGGAAGTACAATAGTTCGACATCTTCAAAATCATCATAAAATATGTAAGTCAAGGAAACACAACATTCGCATAACTGACGTTCCGAACCTGATGTTACATATCAGAGTAAGACACTTTCTAATTAACAAAAACTAATAAAGTAATCCAAAGCTATCTTCAATGCTTCTATAAGCTACTCCGGATCATCTGCGCGTTATCCATGTGGAGGCAACATTCAAACAGAAGAGGTGAGATATCATGATAATATAAAGGAAAGCATGTTAAACGATATGCATCAGGTTAACATAACAATAATTCAACTAAATATCTCACATTAATCAACCAACAATATTATCAGCAATTATTCACTAACAAGCTGGCAATCACACGATAACAAATTAATTAGTCATACAACACCACATATTTAGAAACATATCCAATGCAATGAGACTCACATCTGACTCAATGATTATGCAATGAAACATATCCAATGCAATGAGACTCACCGTTATGATCCCGACCTTCTAGGATCAGAACCACACACTGATCCATCACCTTCGAATCACCTATCGACCCAATCCACACAATGGGATTTTAGGCTCACTAATAACGGATCATTGTCCATAAATGTATGTGTTTTTCTGTGATTGGTAGTAATTTTTGTAAAACTTAGTGTTATCACAAGATGTCCTATATGATGTCTTAACATGTGATCTTAACATTCTGCAGGTGGTTCTTTTTGTTATTGCAGGGTTTAGTTCATGATGTCAAGTATGATGTCCTGACATATGTTTACAGAACATTCAATCAGAATGTTATGTTTTGTCTGTTACATTTTTTCTGCAATCTTTTGTGTGCCTTTGTTAAGTGATTGCTTGTGCAAATCAAGGTGTGACATTATTTGAAGCAAGTATATTCTATTTCCTTTTGAAAAATATTTTGTTGTTATTTTTGTGCAAAAAGATATGGAGAATAATTAGCTTTAATTATGGATTACTTTTGCCCAAGCCCATGAAGAATGGTTTCTATTTAAAGACGTGCTAAACCTACTTGCAAGGTAGAGAGAAGATTTTGAGAAAGCTGCATTTTATCTTTTGTTAGGGTTTGAGTCTTTTGTTAGTTGTTTTCTTGTGAGCCATTCATTCATCACTTTGATGTGTGAATTGGACTGAGTTCTTTGAGTTGTTTGTTATCCGCTCTACACTTTTAAGCACGAGTGCATTGTTCTTGATTGAAGCTTTTAAGCAAGAT